TCTCTCTCTCTCTCTCTCTCTCTCTCTTCCTTTCTCCCTCTTTCTTTTTCACGCTTGTTTTTCTATATATTTGTTTCGCTCTGCCTCTCTACCGCACTGGTGCGGTATCCATTTTCTGCAGGGCCGATCTCGGCAATGGGACGACAGCCCAAGCACCAGCAGCAGCAGACTGGGGGACTCGAAATAATCGCGCGTAAAGGGCCGAAACTGTACGTGCGTTCGCTGTGTTTTCAACTTCCAAGAAATGTACTGGCTCTAAAGTTCACGATATGCCCCGCCTCGACATGATCAGTCGAGCCACCGACGAGAAAACGAACCTTTTCCGTCGGGGTGTCGCGCGCACACACGAGGCCGGCTCGTGAGCTGGGCGATTGGATGAACGGGGCTGGCTGGCGCGCTGGCAACTGGCTCGGGCTACGAGGCAGATAGACCCGTCTGTACCGGTAGTAGTAATACCGAACCTCGTGTCCGTGCGCTCTACTGCGCTCTCACCAATACGCGTATTAACGTGGTAGTGGCCTTCCACTACTGACTCAATATGTTCTTGAACGTGTCCCTGTCATGGTGTTCGTACGTGCTTAGGCGCCTGTCATGTGTCGGTGCGTTCGTGGACGCGCGCCTATAACGTACCGGCGCACCGGCCATCTGCTGGTCGCACACAGGAGTCAAATACGCGCGCCAAAACCGTCACTTCGCTTTTTTCCGTCCGTAACTACCGCGCCGCCAGCAATAGCAGATATCCAAAAAAGTTCCTAGATCGTGACACCTTTTCTCAATTCTTCACAGAATTTACACTGATTCACTCGTTTTTATCTGTCTCTTGGGACTGTTCATACTGCCATGATCATCCAGGCATTCGCGATAACGTTTGTTTATATTCGTTAAAGTTTGATGTTCCACGATAGGTACATGATGTCACGCTTTTCCGTTACAGAATGTTACCAATGTTGATCGAGAAACAGACCGTGGAAGATCAGAAATTCACGAATTGCACGAGCTTTTCACGGAGATAAAGAACATACGCGCCAAAACTGTCCCTCCTGTTTTCCACGAAACTGCCACGCAAGCTCCGGCATGTAGGTGAAAAATCCCTATGTCGCGACTTTCTCGGAACACGTTCGAGTTTGATGTATCGGTTATTTGTATTTGACAGCTTAAAATGTCACGATATATCGTCCTTACAGATTATTACTGTCCCAGTCCGCCATGGTCAGGGGTGTGCGCTTTCGAAACCGACCACGCTTGATGTTGGCAGTGAGTCCCTTTAACATGGGCCTTATCACGAAGAAAAGGGGGCAAGAATTAAACGAACGATTAACACACACCCGTATTATGTAATTTTTGAAACTCTTTGATTCTCTTTTCTCGAGCACACACACTTCTGAAGATTGGGAGGATCCCACTCCCTGTCGTTTCTTGCCCGAAACTAAGCGGGCGGTCGTCGCTTCCTTCACGATGGAGGGGTGTTGGATGCCAGGGCCGTACCGTTTTGCACGTGCAAAAGTATGCTTGATTTTCTTTCGCATTTTTCTGCACGGGTTTTCGCAGTTCTCAACATCAATCGATTACTCACATTCGTATTTTCTTTCAATTACAATTTCATTACAATTCATGAGTTAATCTTTCTATATTTTTCGCAACGAATTTTCGCTAACACGAAACATAAAAAAATATCTTTATTATACATTTATAAAAATATACAAACATTCGTATACGATACTTGTCATATCTCTCTCGCATTTAAAAGTCAACAGTTAACAGGTTTCGACAATAATCGAACAACTGTTAGCAGAACAAACACAATATATAAACAAATTAGAGACGTTTAATGTTTATGTTACTCAAGTAAATTGTATACAGTTATATATTTATGGTGATATGAAATCGTTCTTGATTAATATCGGTATCTTTAATAACAGAGCAGGATCCCTTGACGCATTTGTACGTACCTGAAGCAGGTAGCCAAGAAGGGAGCCCGGTGTTTTCTTCGTAACGTATTTATTTGAACCCTATGCAACTACAAAAGGATCGTACCCTACGAAGAACATAAGAGAGGGTACGTACCTCCCTTCTTGCTCCTATATTCTTATGTGCCTTTCCATTTTCGTGTTTTAAGCGTGGGGCGCCAAAAAATCAAACGAGAGGTACAGGATTGGGCCCGAAATAACTATATGTCTACGATCACGAAAAGTTCAGGACGTTCCGATTCAGGACAATCGAGGATCTGCATCGCTGAGTACGTGATCGCTTTCACTTCAGCATTTTGTGTGTGTTTGCCAATCGTGAACTCTTCCCCTAACGCCATCGCAGAGATCTTGAAGTTCTCGCGGTCGAAATTAGTGATCTTCACTTTCTGATAACACAAAGGGATACTTTCTCTACAAGAGTCACAAAAACAGCGTATCAAGAGGGGAAAGAGGTACTTTATTTCGATTTGTATTTTTCCAAATTATTAGTTAAGCATATAAAAGACGATTCATCGATTAAATAATACTATGATTAAAAAAAAAGTCGAAGAAGTATTAAGTAACGCGTTTTCATAATTGACAAGGAATTTTAAATCTAACAATGATGTAATCAAAGTTCTAGGAATGTAATTAATATACCTTTGCAACGATATACGGTTCGGCGCTAAACATGAATAATAACTCATCGAGGAAATGGAAAAGAAGACTTTCCAAGTCGTGTCCTTCCGCTTCTATGTGGTGCAATTGTGTCATTTGAACACGCTCTAAATCTGTCATGTACCCAAACATGGCCAATGCACATTGTTCGAAAGCTTCTTCCATAGTATCACCCCATGCGTGCAATCTATAATACACTATGAATATTATGATATATTCTTATTTCAGTAACATAATATCATTAAACCAATTTAACGACTTTTCGCTAACAGTAACTGTTCGTTGTCCTACTTTTTGTTTTAGGTTATCTCCGCAAGTAACCTCTAAAATATATCTTCTTTGATCGCAAGGGATTTATGAACTGAATACTTACTGTACGTCCGCCGTGTGGTCCAAATCTAAAACATAAAACGTATACACATGACTGTCTGTATTTTCTTATACAACTGGACGTAAAATAACATCGTAAATTTTGATTTCAACCAGTCCACATGTGGCAAAATGGATGCCGGTATAATGGCGTGCCGGTTGCCGGTTATATCATTCTAGCATGACAAAACTATTCACTTCGCGAATTTGATGCGTTATTACGTTCAGGACACGATATTGGATACTTACATTCGTATTTAGCTGGAGGTATTACAAAATCCTCTTTGCTCAACGCGTCCATGATTGCGCACAGCTGATCTCACGTACGTGAATAACCGATCAGCTGATTCTCTGACAGGTTTAATCAATGGCGGTCCCGGTTATGCGTGTGCGAGGTTGTACTACGTAGATGGCGTTACATAAAAGTATGCCTCACGATCTTGATTACCGACCGAACGAAGTCGGTAAATGTTTTTCTCAATGTGAACAATGATGTGGTTACAAAAAAGGTATTTAAATAATAAAAAAATTAATAATATTCAAAGGTAAAATTAAAAATGATTAATTAATTATAACCTTTTTAATTAACATTTCCAGTGGATTATGATATTTCGCAACGTTCGTGTAATCTGTTTAAAGGCGTAGTATATTTGTTTAGATTTGTGTATTTTTTTCAAATGTTTACATTTGCCATTTCAAAGAAAAACTAGCTTATATATCTTAAGATTATGAGTTTTAATTTGCTCGTAGTTACTCCCTCGTTAGATACGGGTTTATCGAAGTGTTTACAAATCGCTATGCAACATGCAACCGAGCATAGATTTCGAATTTGTGTCATTAGTTTTCACGATAGCGGCAATCACCGTGCAGTGAGCGGTGAACCGCATAATCAGCCTACAAATACTAACTAATAGATCTGCATAATTTTCTTCTGAACAAATGCAAGATACAATAATTGACTCATTTTTTGAAAATATAAAAAATAAATATTATATTGGATTTTATACAATATTAAAAAGAATACTTCTACTATAGGTATTTCCTTTCAATATGTCACTCACATTCCTTCCATTATTGTGTCTTTTAAGTCTTATAAATGCGTTGATAGTCTTATCGCTTAACTATCATTGTATTACTCACCTAACTATCACTATATTTATAGAAGTTTAATGTTGTAAAAATGGATAGAAAGTACATAACGTATAAAAATATATAAAAATATCAAAAATCTGCTTATAATAATATTTAATGGATGGCATGAACTTCTGCTTAGATTCTAGTTTTGTAGTACTATTTCTGCTAATTACTTATTCTATTTTTCATTAATTATATCTGATATCCTATACTATTCATATTTTTTAATTTAATTGCAACTTACTTATTACCATCAAATCTAAATTATTTGTAAATTATTAGTAAATTCATTAACCTAATCATTCCAGCGAAACCGATATCCAGTTGATAGTTCTCCCGCTGTTCGAACAAATCATTTCGTTCATCGAACCGTTTCGCCGACGATCGTCGGGTTGCTCCGCCGATTAACTGTGTCGATCGATCGATCGATCGTTCGAAAAAACGAGCGAGAGTCAGATAGATCAGGCATGTAAGTATGTGGTACAGTTTCGTTGGCCGTTTTTCTTTGTCAGTCGTCTCCCCGATGAAAACTAGTTTCTCATATCGATGCGATGTGATCCAAGGGCGCCCGGTTCGTGCTCTCCGTAATCCCCTGTTACATAAAACTGCGTAGACGGTACCGTAGCGGTTCCATAGGGACATCTTGTCGTCATCTGTTTACAGTATCGTTTTCAACTAGCCGTTGGTAGCAAGGTCACAAGGTCACGGATGGTTACTTTTGCTTGCACTTGATCTACCCGCGATCTTATTGCCACAGGTCATGTCTTTATCGATCGTTATTTATCTTTCCGATCGATTGTGTTTCTGTGAATATTCTCTGATTGGTAATTTTATCTTGAACTTGGAAATGAAATAACTGAGGTGAATAATGGAAGGATATTTTTGAAGTAGATGATTCGGTGTATACCTTTAACTGGTATCACTGGACATTGTGACATCCGTGCAAACGTAGGTTTTACATTGCTCGATTTTGGAATTTTTAATTTGATTTAATTTCAGGGAAGCAATCAGAGAGAATATAAAATTAAATACCATTAAATTTACTTCAATTTTATTAAAATAAAATTAAATACTATAAATTTGTGTAATATAATACAAATTACTATGAACTTATTCTTGAGAAAAAGACAGATATTTAAGATAAGAAAAATTTGGATTTTAGAAGTTTCTCTTAAAGATTTAGAAGTTAGCTAGGAGATTAGAAGATTCAGAAGATTTAAAGATTTAAATAATGTATTTTGTATTCTAATAGTCACGGTAATAAAGTTTCTTCCTTAACAAAGAGAGGTGTCAGGTATAAACCAACAATTTTAACGAGCTTTTGTATGGCAATAAAGCTTGAACAACTGTTCATTCTTCTCTTTATGGCTTAATTTAAGATTACTTTGTTGTTTCACAGAGCAAGCATATAACTTTTTAAAATATCATTATGTATAGTATACAGTAATATACAATAATAATATTGCAATAATAATAATTATATGTCACTGTTAATGTAATGCTAGTCAATGTTATAATCATTGCAATACTGCATAGTTGGGATGTTTCAACATTCAAATAATAATAACAGTATTACTTTTATACTATTAACATAATTTATTAACATTTGCATGATTTTTTAATATATTTTTTATTTTTTTAAATTTCATTCATTTTTTATTATTTATTTATTCTATATTGATTATTAATTAATAATTATTAAATATTTTTTATTTTATTATGTAAATTATTTATTATATTTATTATAATAATACTATAAAGTTTGTAACAATAATGTTCCTTTAATTATGATTTTAATATTAATATAATAATATAGTATAATATTATAATATTAATGTTAGAAATTCTATAAGATATAAATTAAAATCGAATGGATTAATAAATCCGAAAGGAACAATGCAATAAACCCAATTCAATCGATTTGCATTCGAATCCATGAGTCACTATTCTTCGTATTTTTATGGTTCTTGGTATCGTGAAATCGTACTATAATTTCGTATGTAGCGTCGTCTGACGATAATTAAACGTCGGTGGACGTGCTATCAGAATCCATTCATTACATGTTACCAACACGCGATGCAGGAATTATAAACAGAAGCTAAATACTGCTCAATATAGAAGTGAATGAGTATAATAGGAGCAATACAAGAAGTTTGTACAATGTTCTATCATTAAATAAACAGTTGGTAATAATTACGAAATGAATTATCTACTGTAATCATTAGTAATCTGCGGATGTTTACCCATTTATGTAGAAATTTATATACATGCTTATATCTGTATTTATATATTATTATTTATATATTATATTATTATATATATTATATTATTATTTATATATTATATTATATATATGCTTATATCTAAATTTGCATAAAGATCTATATTGATGATTCTTATACATACTTAGAAATTTAAAGGATTCTATTAAAGATAATGTAGGGTTTTCATACATATTTATTATTTGGTTACATTCTTATGCAAACTTCTAATTTCCATTTACAAGCAAGCACATGTTAAGACATTTCAGTATTGCAATCCAGGAAGAACTGCTTACGTATTTCTATACACACAGCACGAACCTCTTCTTGTGAATGGAGACACAGGCTTTCTTTATAGAATTTCTTTATAGAATTCTAGAATGGGCCCACATCTTGCTCATTCTAGAATTGAAATTCTGTTCTATTATTTAATAATTCCTACCAGCACAAGACCGATTTCAGAATTTTTTAAATCGATTTTTTTAATCTTTTACAATATCTATAATACTTTACATTTTTCGATCCAACTGATTATCTACAAAACTGTCTATAGTATAACTCCAACATAAAGAGTTGTACTGTAACATCATCAGCTTGCGTCTTGATTGATCATTCTGATACATTTTGAAAAGCTACCCATGGCAGAACTGATAGAAGGTAAACAAGCGTGGAAATTATTCCAACGACGGTTCTAAGAATGCTTATGCAGACGATTGGTCGCGAGAGGAAAGCCAGCCCCGCGCGTCAGGGATGCCGATCCAGTGACAGAAAAGTCGAAGCTAGATCAGCCTCCTCCGATCGAAGCAACCAGCTCGTGCGGCCTGATCAACAAAAGAAGAGCGGGTTTACGCGTTCCCCGGAATTCGCCGACCATTACACCAGCTAATACACTTGTGTATTTCTTAGGACGGGCGTAGTGCGCTGCTTCTCGCCTCTCACGTGTTGGCGCACTTTAATGACATGCAATTTTGCAACGTAGCTCTCTGCCCGGAGTCCTTGGCGCTGGAAACTATATAAACGGACCGCTTATAATTGACTAGGCTAGCTGGAAGATTTTTAACCGAAGCACACCATGTCGTATCACACCGTTCGCGTGGTCGCCATCGCGCTATGTACCCTTACTGTCGTCGCTGCGGATTATCAACTTCGTAAGTTCACGTTCACGATCTTCTGCTCTTTAGCTACTGCTTCTGGTTCATTTTTTTTTTTTTTTTTTTTTTCTGTTTGTTTGAGAACGTTTTCGGGTGATAATGATGGATTTTTGCGGAAGAGTCAAATTGGAAGAAGTTGGAGACATCTTTTTGTTTTTTCCCCGTTAATTTTTTTTTTTAAGTTAGATTTCTGAGATGAGCTTAATGGAAAGGAAGCTTAAATTTTATAGTACAAATAAAGTAACTCAGAAGCTGTTAAAATGGAATCTTAAAGCCCTTAAAGAACAAAGATTTGATCCTATAATTATTTATTGCAATGGCTTCATTTTATAATTCTAGTCTGCTTCATAGTTCTTCAATTATATTACCAAATTCTCTCACTACTATACAAATTAAATTCATTGATTAATCAATTAAAATAAACTTTATTTCAATTAACAGACGTTAGTTTAAAATTTACACGAGAAGAAAATTATCATAGGAAAATTATTACAATTCTATAAAAGATGCAATTAATGACATTTAATTTAGCAATCTAAATAAATTAAAATATATTTCAATGTAATAGATTATATAATAAATTTATATAAACCAAATTTAAAATTATTCATGATAATTGATAATAGTTTTTTACTTTGAATTAGAAGTAAAAGTTTCTGTTATTTGTTTCGTAGAACTAGTGAGTTAGAAAGTTAACATAGGTCGTTTCAATGCACTAGTAAGTTGAATTTTAGCGAAATCTGAAAACTACCGTTCACTATATCCATTCGTTTTCCTTCATGAATCATGGAGTGACACGAACTATTTTTATTTTTTTCAATGAATCATATTAATCAGGCAATTGCGGTAATTAATTGCGATGATATGATGAGTTTAACATGGAAAGAAAAATAGATTTCAAGAAAAAAATGAAAAAGAGAATGCCTTTAATATTTGTTTGTGATTCTCGAGATTTTCTTTCAGAGTTTCTTTAACGTACGTCTATTAATATTACAGAACAACGATTGCAAAACTATACTAATA